TGACATACAACTATCTACTGGGGCTTTGGGGGGAAAAAACTGAATAAATAAAATCTTTAAAAAAAAAAATAAATAAAATGAATTTATAATAGATGTCCAAATTCCTTCAAAACCTTTACCAAGGAATTAATCACAGGAAAAGTAAGTAAATTCAGAAAGTGCTATTGCTGCTCTGGTTGAATTACTGAACACGATATCTGAATATATTTCAAAACAAGTCTTATTAGTTTTTCAAATTTATTTTAACAAATACTAAAATATGTATGCAAAAATTTAAGTCTAATTAATGGTAATATAAAATAATGGCAGACAGAAAATTAACTAAAACAACTTTAGCCCCACTATTTATGCTTTAAGAAATTCCTTGATATTTTAAGTACTTTCCAGTTATTTAGGCTTTCCCCCCGAAGTGAGCCAAAAAGAAAAATTAAAGAAGGCAGTGATCAAAAGTTTTTGCGTAACCTGAGGGATGAGTGGATTTTTTTGGCGAGGAAGGTTGGCCATGAGCTAACATCTGTTGCCAATCTTCCTCTTTTTGCTTGAGGAAGACTGTCCCTGAGCCAACATCTGTGCCAGTCCTCCTCTATTTTCTATGTGGGACGCCGCCACAGCTTGGCTTGATGAGCAGTGTGTAGGTCCACGTCCAGGATCCAAACCCGTGAACCCTGGGCCACCATAGCAGAGCATGTGAAGCCAACCACTACGCCACTGGGCTGGCCCCTGGATTTTTCTAACTATGGCCCTTTCCATATATACAAAGGAAATAAAAATATCAAATTATAACCCAGTTCAATGTGGCTCATCCCATTCATTCAACATTCACTGATTATTACAGGCCAGACTTATGCTATATATCAGGGATACAAAAATTAATAAAGTATAGTCTGTGTTCTCCAGCACAAAATTCAAATACCTGATTACCACCTAGATGTATTACAGATTTTGTTGTAGCTGCTTGCATCTTCACTGCCAGAACTGAGGTCCTGAGATCTTTCACACGGCTTCTATAACTAGTAATGTCTGTAACTCAGAGAAGTTGCCATTCTACATTGATATGTTCAAGCAACAGAAGCAAACGAAGCCAGAAGAAACCAAGAGACAGAAAACTGTAAGGGAGAAGAGAGGGGAGGAGGGGGAAAAAGACTTTTTTTTTTTTTGAAGAAAACAGAAGGACAAGAAGAAAAAAGAAAAGGACAGATGAATGGAGGAGAGCACAAAAAAGAACACAAATATATATTGCGGCCGGCCTGGTGGCACAGTGGTCAAGTTTGCATGCTCCACTTTGGCAGCCCAGGGTTCATGCGTTCGGATCCCAGGCGCGGACCTACACATTGCTCATCAAGCCATGCTATGGCAGTGTCCCACATACAAAGTAGAGGAAGACTGGCACAGCTGTTAGCTCAGGGACAATCTTCCTCAGGCAAAAAGAGGAAGACTGGCAACAGATGTTAGCTCAGGGCCACTCTTCTTCACCAAAAAAAACAAAACAAAACAAAACAAAAACAAAACAAAAAGCACACACACACACCAAAACACAAATATAGCCTTTGATGGATAGTTTTTCACTAATATGTAGGCAGAAAATTTCTAAAACGAATTACGAAGCAATTTAATTTAAGAAAAGTACAAAAAGAATGTTAAAACCCAAACCAGACTTGCACTTCAGCTAACAAAGGTGTCCTACTCTAGTCTGGCTCACCTTTCCTCCATGCTGCCATGTACAGGGGACTTTCAACAAAAGGACCACCACAGTGATTCTGCAAAACTAATAAAGAAGCCAGAGGGAACTAGAAACAGATGTTTTAGGCCTTTGTTTATTCCTGGCTCCTTATTTTAGTGGTGACTCAACACAGGGCTTTTCTTGCTCCTACTTCTACCACTTTTGGCATGTCTCAACTTCAAAACACACAAGATGGAATAAGACTGATTTAACCAGTCATCATCAAATACACAGGATATCCTTGTAAGGAAGAACTTGCATAACGGATCTCTCCATATGCCAATGGCCAGTTAGTGATTGCCTTCTGTCAGGTCCTGCTGGGACTGAGGTATTAGGAACATGTTACAGAGCATATATGGAAGGAACTACTCAGGGGACTGTGGTTGTAGCAGCCACCTAGTTTTTCATGTCCAGTGTAAGTAGTTATTTATGTTATTATTCCTATTTTAAATATGAAAAAGCAGGCCCAAAGGGATTAACATTACCAAGTGCTAGTATTAAATCAAGACTTAGACCTAGGTTTTCTACATGGCAGTGCAGTGATTCTTAACCTTTTCCCTATCTCAACCCACCTGGGCAGATGCTACAATCTCATCAGTGCAAGTGGTTTCCCACTCCACGGAGTGAGGAGGGCAGGAAAGGTGCGGCAGACTCAGTCCGAATTTGGAAGAAGGAGGATGTTGGTAGAATTACCTAGAACATCTGGTTAAAATGGGACCACTGAGGGCCGGCCCCGTGGCTTGGTGGTTAAGTGAGCGCGCTCCGCTGCTGGCGACCCGAGTTCGGATCCCGGGCTCCCACCGGCACGCTGCTTCTCCGGCCATGCTGAGGCCGCGTCCCACATACAGCAACTAGAAGGATGTGCAGCT